TCCCGAGGCTGGATGGAGGGTGGGCCCCCGCCTGGATGCCAGAGCTCAAGGAGAGGGGGCCCTTGAGGACCCCGCCCCTCCGGGTCTCCCCTCCCCCATCCCCCGCAGGTGCGTGGGCAGGGGACCCAGAGGCCGGGACGGGGGTCCGTGCCCGCGCGTGGGCCTGGGTTCGGCCCGCAGCGACCGTCTAGCGCCCCGCCGCGCCCCTCCCCCAGCGCGACCAGGGCTCCGGGGGCCGGTCGCCCAGCTTCCTCTGTTCTTCCTAGCCGGCCGGGCGGAGAAGGGTCGATCCGGGGAGCCCCAGAGACCCAGTCCTGGACTTGAGGTGCCCCACCCCGCCTCTCTGCTGCCCACCCTCCCCGAGTCCTGCCTTGGACCTTCCAGCTGCTGCGAAAACCCTCTGATTCCCTCGGTGGTGCAGACGGGCAGCCTGCGGCTGGGCAGCCCCGTGGGGTCTGGGAGCAGGGGCCTGAGTGGGCCTGGGCAGAGGATGGGGTTCCCGGGTTTGCTGGGCGGCGGCAGACGTGCGGTGAAGTTAGCCTGAGGAGGGTGGGGGTCCCTGAGACCGAGATTACTCCCTCCAGCCACTCCCCCATCTCAGCCCGTTGAGCTCCTGAGGGAGGAGGCCTTTGAATTATTCTCTCCTTTAACTTCCAGACCCAGGAAGTGCTTGCTCAGAGCTGACCTCCTGCCTTTCCTGTGCAGTTAGTGCTCGGGCATGGAGGGTTGTGGGCTTACAGGTGGCAAATTGTGGTCCAACCCAAAGAACCTTCCCAGCGGGCAGCAGTTGACCAAAAAAACAGGAAAGAGGGCAGAGTTTGTGAGGTTCTGAGAAGAGGGAGGGCAGGAGGGGGAGGGAGCTTGTGACCCCTCTCCCTGTGCTGGCCTCTGTGAGGCCGATGGAGAAGGTGCATGCAGTCCTGAGGGCAGGGAGCCATGCTCAGGGAGGTTAATCTGGCTAATAACTAGGTAGGCTGCCTGTGAGGCAAGGATTCCTCTAGATCCCCTCCCAGGGGAGGCGCTCTCTGACCTCGCGGGGAATTGGGCTCCTTGCATTATTTTGTGTGTGGAGAGTGATATAAAGAGGGGCCCCTAAAAAGTCACATGTCACAGCAGCAACAGTGAGGCTCATGCATACTCGGGGGAAATTCTGGAATTGGTGTGAAGGGGTGTCTGCAGGAGACTGAGCGGAAGAGGGGTTTGGGCAGGTGAAGAGGTGGCTCAGTGCTGGAGAAGCCACGCTGTGGCTCTGAAGGGTGTGGACCTAGGACTTCTTGATGGGTCTGGACTATGGAGTAGGAGGCAGTGGAGGCCCTGGAGGTGGGGGAGTTGGGACTATGGAGTAGGGAGCAGTGGAGGCCCTGGAGGTGGGGGAGTTGGGACTATGGAGTAGGGAGCAGTGGAGGCCCTGGAGGTGGGGGAGTTGGGACTATGGAGTAGGGAGCAGTGGAGGCCCTGGAGGTGGGGGAGTTGGGACTATGGAGTAGGGAGCAGCGGGGACCCAAGAGGCTGCAGGAACAGGAAGGAGCAGCAGGTCAGCTCCTGCCTGACACTTAGCTGTCATATCCTGAGCCACAGAGAACCCAATACCTGCGTGTGTTCACGCTGGAGAGTACATTTGCATCTCTGCCTCTGTGCACAAATGTTTGGCTCTTTATACCCTCATACATGTGAATGTGCACCGTCCTGTGTGCATGTGAGTTCCCACATTGGTGGTCTACACTCATCTATGTGCGTGTGAATCTTTTTACACGCAGAACACCTGTGATCACCTGTCTAAATGTGCATCCATGCATACATACGTTTGTGTGCATGCCTGTAGGGCCCAGGGATGTTCCAGCCCATGTGTGTTGGTGTCTGTGTGGGGACATTCCCGGCCTGCTCTAAGTGGGGGAGGCGAGGCCAATTAAAATGAGCTCCCACCTCCCCTCTGCTGAGCCCCAGCCATGGCCTGAATTTTGCAGCCTGCTTAAAAATAATTGGGGGCAGCGGGGGGATTGGATGTCAATCATTATCAGCCGCTGGCTTTGCTGGTGCCGCAGCAGGCTGGGCGGGCTGAGCAGTTTGGGACAGGGATGATGCAGGGTCGGGAAGACCAAGAGTCTGGTTCCTTTTTCTGGGGGGACCGTGGAGACATAGCTTGCCTGACTTCTGCTGAAAAACTCCAGGAGGGTCTTTGGAGGAGGGTGGGGTAGCTCCTCCCCAGTAAATGGGCTGCCTAGTGCTTGCCTGCCCCCACCCCCCTAATTTGTGACTAGGGCTTGGGCCTGGCTCAGAACTGTAGCATGTGGGATCTGGGCAGCAAGGAGCTCCCTTCTACACAGGGACTGGAATTCTGAGGCTCTAATTCCTGCCCCTGCCCCAACCTCCGGCCATGATTTAGACTCCGGAACAGCTGAGGGGAGATCCATCCCTGGGGAGCAGCTTTGTCTGAGGAAAATCCAGCCATACCTGTGAATATTCCTATGTTTGTGACTCAGTTCCCAGAGATAATGGCTTGTCCATCAGGCCTGAAGCCTGAGCAAGGAAGGGGACTGAGCAAGAGGCTGCTGGTGGACGAGAGAGAAACTGCGCTGGGGCCTCAGGTCCTGAACTCCAGTTCCAGCTTGGCCACTCTTGTGTGATCTTGAGCAGGCTGCCTTCCCTCTCAGAGCCTCATCTTTTTTCCTCTAATGTGGAACAAGCAGGCTCTCGGGGCCCATCCAGTGCTGTGAGCTATGCCGTGGACACGGAGGAGGAGGAGGCGGTGTGGATCGATTTGGGGGCAGGGCTGGAAGCGGGCCTGAGCAGGCTGTGGGCAGTGACTGTGTCCTGGCTAGTGAGCGGGGCACTGGCAGGTGTCCCGCCACCAGCTCTTGTCCACTCTGGCCTGACTGCCTGGTGGGTCCGTCGGGTTGGACTTGGGTCCTGTTGCCCTCTCACACCTAGAGGATATTCACACTTGCTGGGAGCTCAGCTTAGGGCAGCATTTGGCCGGGCGGGGCCGGGGGTGGGGGGGTGAATGTGGAAATCAATGAGCTCTGGTTTCCATTCTTAGGACCCTGAAGACTCATGAGATTTGAGCCAGCCCTGGGGAAATAGCAAGGGACAGAGGTCATGATTGGGTGGTGTGGACTTTCAGGCCAGGGCTGTGGGAGCTAAGAGCAGGGAGACGGCATGGTGGCCTTGCTGGAGGTGGTAGGCCCTGAGCCAGGCGTTGGTGGATAACCCAAGACGGGAGGGGAAGATGGGTTCGTGGGGAATTACTGCACCCATTTCGCAGATGCCACTCCTGCTCATTTCCACCAGGAAATGCACAGCAGCAATACTGTTGATGTTCACACGTGCGATGTCCTCCCAGGGGCACGGCTCAGGTTGTACGCAGTCTCTGGCACACTGGTGGTCACGCCCCCCCTTTTTTCTCCCACTCAGTAAAGCAAGTGAGTGAGAATGACATTGTTCCGGGAATAACCTTGAATCACTTTGATTTATAAAAAGGCAAATCATCAAACATCGCTACTTTGACAATTACTGCTGGATTACGCATGACACACCGTGACTGGGAGCAACAGTTCTGGAGAATACCAGCTGGGGGGTGGGGGTGGGGCTGGACCCTGTTGCCAAGCTGAGATGCTTGTGGTTGATGGGACTGACCGAGGACCATAGGGTAATAGTAACAACGACAACGAATGTTTCTTAAGCTCGTAGGAGAGTCAGACACTCTCCCCTGTCTTCATTCTATAGGTGAGGAAAGGAGGCTCAGAGAGGACAAGTCCCTTGTCTGAGATCATGCAGGTGGTCTTAGCCACGGGGCCCGCGACCTGCAGCTTAGCCACAGGAGGTTCAGAGCTCATGCTGGCTGTGCCTCGAGCCACTGACACTGTCTCTCTCCACAGGGCAAGGGACATAGGATGACCCCAGCCTGTCCCCTCTTACTATCTGTGATTCTGTCCCTGCGCCTGGCCGCCGCCTTCGATCCCGACCCCAGCGCCTGCTCCGCCCTGGCCTCCGGCGTGCTCTACGGGGCCTTCTCACTGCAGGACCTCTTTCCGACCATCGCCTCGGGCTGCTCCTGGACGCTGGAGAACCCCGACCCCACCAAGTACTCCCTGTACCTGCGCTTCAACCGCCAGGAGGAGGTGTGCACCCACTTTGCACCCCGCCTGCTGCCCCTGGACCACTACCTGGTCAACTTCACCTGCCTGCGGCCTCGCTCTGAGGAGGAGGCGGTGGCCCAGGCGGAGGCGGAGGTGGGGCGGCCGGAGGAGGCGGAAGCAGCCGGGTTGGAGCTGTGCGGCGGCTCAGGCCCCTTCACCTTCCTGCACTTCGACAAGAACTTCGTGCAGCTTTGCCTGTCGGCCGAGCCCTCGGAGGCCCGGCGCCTGCTGGCACCTACAGCCCTGGCCTTCCGTTTTGTCGAGGTCTTGCTCATCAACAACAACAACTCCAGCCAGTTCACCTGCGGGGTGCTGTGCCGCTGGAGTGAGGAGTGTGGCCGTGCCGCCGGCCGGGCCTGTGGCTTTGCCCAGCCGGGCTGCAGCTGCCCTGGTGAGGCTGGGGCCAGCCCTGCCACCACCACACCTCCAGGTCCCCCTGCTGCCCACACCCTGTCCAATGCCCTGGTGCCCGGGGGCCCACCCCCATCTGCTGAGACCGATTTGCACTCGGGGAGCAGCAATGACCTGTTCACCACCGAGATGAGATATGGTGAGTCTGAGCAGGGCCTGGGTGGGGTGCCTGTGTCCAGGGGACTGATGGTGCCTGCTGGTGCCCATCCTGGCAGATCCATATAGCTGTTCACCCATGTCCCCTCTGTGCCCAGCCTTGTCTAGATGTTGGGGTCATCAAAATGGATTAGGGTTACACCTCCCCCTTAAAGAGTTTGTAGGCTGGGTGGATGAATGGGGGCACCGATCAGACAGTGATTATGATAAACCCGGGGAGGGGACTGCCTAGATGGGCAGTCAGGGAAGGCTTCCTGGAGGAAGTGAAAAGGAGCAGAGATCTGAGGGACAGGTGGAATCGAGCCAAGCCAAAGGAGTGGTGAGGGCATTCCAGGCCGAGTGAGCAGTGTGTACAAAGGCCCAAAGCTGGGAGTGACTGTGGAAGGCCCTGGCATTGCAAGTTGACAAGTTTGCCTGGAGGCTGGAGTAGGCAGGGAGCGGGGCTGTGTTCCTGCCCACATGGGTTTCTGATTTTTGGCAGTGGCCCCAGGGTCGGGGCAGAGGGAGATGCAGAAGAATGTGCCTGGGTGGAGAGGCCCGAGCTTCTAGGCTGCCTTGGAGGCCTGGGCTGGCTCAGCTCCCAGCATCCACTGTCTCCCCACTCTGGGCCCAGGTCTTCTGGGACTGAGGCCGCCAGCTGCTAGTTAGTGAATTAAACACAGCTGGTGAGAAAACCTGCAGCTGCTGACTGGGCAAAAGCTCCCCGAGCCCTTGAGTCCTGCCTGCTCCTGCTTCCACTCCAGCTCCCTTCTGCCAACCCTTCCCGCTGCTTCAAGGCTCCAAACTCCTCAGCTGGACCCTTTGTGCCTGCTGACCAGTGCTGGGCAGGGACTGGCCAGGGGCCTGGCAGGGAGTTGGGTGGGAGGGAGGCAGATCTGGGATCTGATTCTTAGCTCTGGTACTAACGGAAGTTCCCTCCCCTCTCTGGGCCTCAGTTTCCCCATTTGGGATAACAGGTGTTGGCCGACTATCATGAGGCTGTCACCAGGGATATAAGTCAGAAGGGGCATCTGGATCAGCCTGAGAGAGGACCACAGGGAGGCGGTGGGGCTCGCGGGAGGGCTGCTAGGAGTATGATCTGTCCCCATTCCTTCTTTGGAGGCCAGAGTCATGGAGTTGGGCACTGCCTTTGACTGTTACCTGGAGTGGACCCCCCGTTTTGGCACCAATTTCTTGTCCGTGAAATGGGGAGATATCCCTGAAGTAGTAAGAGGGTGTGTTTATCACGACAATCCTTTTGGGGAGGGGCTTCTCAGCCCCCCATGAGACATCTGGCATCATGCCCAACCTTGGCAAATGGCCCGTGGGCTTGCTCCGGCCTCTCTCCTCGGCCAGCGTGGCCTCTTAGCAGTGGTCAATGAAGCTGTCCCAGTGACAGCTAGGCTGTGGGCAGGATGCAGGCCCCGGAGGCTGGCCTGGGATTTAGTGCCTGCAGGAAGAAATTGAATTTCCCCTCTTTGTCGAACATCTGTGGAGAGTGCCAGGCATATATCAGGAGGTTTATGGCTCTTCCTGCCTGGCCGCCACTGCCTGTCACTCTGTGGGGGCCTCCATCCTGCTCAGCGGAGGGTGAGTTCTTTTGTCTGGCTTTCCCTGTGGTCCATCGGCCCAGTGGTCTGTAGTGGATGGAGCACGGCTCTGCCCTCCTGGGCAGGCACCATCTGGGCTGGCTGCCACGTGAAGCATGGAGCCAGGAGCAGCCAGCTGGGCTTGGTTGGAGCCGGAAGCAGGGGTTGGTTGGTAGCTAGGGTGTCTTTGGGGATCAGAGAGGACTGGTTATAGGAAGGGCACCATCCTCCCCACCATCATCCCAGCCTCTGCCGCCACCTCCGTGACTGAGGATGGGCGGAGGTTGGATGCTGGTTATCCTTGGACGCGAGGCCTGGTATCCTTTCTGAGCAGGGAGCTCTGGGCTCCCAGCTGTTCCCAAGCCTGACTCTGTTTATGCCCCTTGTCCTGCTTGGCACGTTTCCAGGCTGCTCCGTGGGCTTGCCTGCAGGAAGGCCCTGTGGGGAGTTGCTGGGAGTGATGGGCATCAGCCGTCATAAGTGGGCTCACACAGCATGCTGGCGCTCACAGCTGGGCTGGCATAGCCTCCGTCTCTCCCCTGGTAAACAAGAGACTCTTCCTCTCTGCCACCCCCTCCCTTTTGCCACTCTGGGGCAAGACTCAGTTTATTCCGTGTGGCAGGGAGTGTCTGAGGGCCAGTGGCGTCATCAGGGCCCAGGGCACTCTGTGCCTGGGGGCAGCACAACCTTTGCCAAGCCCTTGGCCTCATCTCCACGCTTCTCTTCACCTCCTCCCCACTGGCCAGCTGGACACATGTACCCACTGTAGGGGGACCGGCTGGCACATAGAGCTGCCAGATTGAGAACAGGATTGGTGGGGATGGTGGTGAGGCCAGGACCCTCCTCCCGGCCCCTTTGCCAGGGACTGGGGCAGGGAGCTGTGCCCACCGCCTCTGGGACACCCCGAGTAGGGTCCGTGGCACGGCCGGGTGGGGTGAGGCTGTGGGTACTGGAAGAGTGATGAGGCCTGGAACTGGTAGGCAGTGGCGGAGTGGAGTGCCAGGGCTCGCCTCAGAGCTGAGTGCTTTTGACAAGAAGGTACAGGCGCCTGTTAATTTCACGCAAACTGCCTTTGATAGATCTCTTGTTATTTTTGGTGAGTTGAGCCATAAATTTGTGCCATCTTGCCGCTGCAATCTGTTAAGTGGGGGGAAAGGAAGAAAGGGAAGGCAGGCAGGAAGGAGCGTGGTAGAGGATTGGAATGGAGGCTGGTAGAGGCCGGGGCAGGAAGGTGGGTTTCAGAGGGGGTGCCAGCTGCAGAGCCCAGCTCCTGGGGGCCGGCCACCACCTGCAGTGCCTCCCGTCCAGACGAGGCACCAGCCGATGGATAGCTGTGCAAAGTGACACCTGAAAGGGAGTGTCTTTCGCTCTTACAACGCCCTCCCTCCTCTGCCACACTCGCTGCCTCCCCCCCGGGGCCCTGTCCCACCCTTGTCTCCCCATCATCTGGGTTCCATTCCTAAGTCATAGCTACAGGGTGGGTCTGGGGTCTCCTGAGCGTCCGGCCAGGGGGGCAAGATCGGGTTCAAATCCCCTTTCTGCCTCTGCTGCCGTGTGTGACTTCCCTGATCCAGCCCCCAGTGACTGTCCATTGGGGCCCAAACTCCTCAGCCTGGCCTGCTAGCCCCACCCCGGACCCAGCTGCCACCTGCTTTTCTGCCTGCCCTCTAATTCTCTCCTCCTTCAACCAGGGCTCCTCACCGGCCGTGAACTCCCTGCTTTCTGGCCTCCCTACCTTTCCCTGGGCTGCTTCCCTCACCTGGAATGCCCCTTGCCCTTGTTTATCCAGAACTTCCGAATCCTTCTAATACAGCTCACGCCCTGTCTCTGACCTGGCCTGCCCAGTCCTGCATTGGCCTTTCTGCTCTCAGCACTCAGGCCCTGCTCTTGGCCAGCCTGGTCTGGTGGCGGGGAGTGGGGCCGACCTGCCTGTTTGGGGCTCAGGCATGGGGAAGGCAGAGCCTCTCTGGGTGGGGTGGAGGAGACCTAGCACACGCAGTGCGTTTCCTGGGAGATCCTTTCAGCCCCGACCTGTGCTCTGGAGCTCTGTGCTCTATCGCGGGATGGAGCGTGGGGTACAGTACCCCCCCCCCGCCCCCGCATCTCAGCAGGGGCCGAGCCCCAGCCCATCCGTCACACACGTCTTCATGTCTTTATCAGAGTGCAGTTTGTGCCAGGCCTCGGGCTGCCTCAGACGGAATGAGATCCAAGGTAGACCAGACACCCCTTCTGCCCTTTGGTGGGAGAGAGTGACCACTAGTGTACAGTGTGGTCAAGGCCACAGGCTGAAGTCGCCCAGCCCAGCTTCAGTCCTGACCCCACCACTGATTAGCTGTGTGACGGCGGGCAAGTTTCTTCACCCCCGTAAAAGGGGGATGGTAGAGCTATTCCACAGAATAATGGGATTAACCAAGAGAAGGTGGGTAAGTGCTGAGCACAGTGGCTGGCACGTGGTTCGTCCTTACTAAATAGTTGGCTGTTGCCATAATTTAGTGTAATAGGCATGATGTACATGTGCTGATGTCAAGGGAGAGGAAGAGTAAGGGGTTAAAGCACAAAGGGATGAGAAGGCAGTTTAAACAAGGTGATTCTGAGTTGGGTTTTGAGGAGTGAATAGGAATTCACTAGCCTGTGACATTTTCCCTCAAATTGACAGGTTTTTAAAATTCTTTTTATTAAAAAGAAACTTGATATCATAAATGGAAAAAAGCATATTACTTCTTTGAAATCGAAGATAACCAAAAAACATCCACAGTGTAAACAAAATGACGTTATCAAATTCTAGCAAAATGCTCATCCCTCCTTTCAATTTTTTAGAGAAACCAGCATGTGTGGGGGAGGTGTTAAAGTCATCTTTCATGCACTAGGAAGGACTAAAAGTAAGGTGACCATATAAGTCATCATCTAAACCGGGACCTTTTTGAGGTGATAAAGGGGGAAGAGGTGCTGTTAATTACATCGGGGCAACCGGTGCAACCTGGACTAGGCCAGCCAGATTGGCAGAAGTCACCCTAATTAAAAGAGACATGGAAAGGGGATACGATCCTCCGTCCGTGATCCGGTGCTATTTCACGGCACTTTTGTGAGCCACCCCAAGTCATTTCCTGTTGCATGCTTTGTGAAACCCTGTAGGAGCAAGGGCTTTCGAGGTAGAGGAAACAGCCTGTGCGAGGGTGTGGAGGGGTGGACCCGCCAGGTAGGGAGAGATACATAGACTGAGGTTACTGGACAGTCCTACCTCCCCCACGGTGGTAGGAAATGGGGCCAGGGCTCTGACTGCCGAGCAGACACTGGGGCCTCACCCTATTGGCCAAGGGCTGTAAGTGAGGCAGCGAGAAGCTGGGTGTCATGAGGGAGACAGCGTGAGTCAGATGTGGTCTCTGCTCTCGAGGAGCTCCTGGCCACGTGGGGTTGG